CACTTCTCAGATATATAGATTGTTATACACATATTTTTTCCCAACATTTTATGAACATTTTCAAAGAGGATAAGGAGAAAACTGAAAAATTAAATTAAAAATGACACTTTCCTTATATTTTTCCTTTCTCAAATGCCACATATTAATATTTTAAATGTATGAGGGCACTTCAAAAAGTTCGTGGAAAGATTCATATTATTTTGTCATTCTATTTTTCTACAAACTTTTTTTTTTTGGGGGGGGGGACTGGTAAGGGGATCGCAACCCTCAGCACGGTGTGGTCTGCACCATGCTCAGCCCGTGAGCGCACCACCATCCCTATATAGGATCCAAACCCACGGCCTTGGCGCTACCAGCACCGCACTCTCCCGAGTGAGCCACGGGGCCGGCCCTCCACAAACTTTTTGAAGTACCCTCATATGTATGTAATATGCATACATTCAAAATATCCATTTTAATGAGTATGTTAGCTACTGTAGAAGTAAATAAATGTATCATAAAATATTTTTCCTATTACTGATCTTTGAACAAATACCTATTTAATACATCAAAATATGCCAGAATTAATGTAACACACATTTTCAAATAAAAAAAGCTAAGAAACGTATTTCATGAAATTGTCATACTCTATACTACTAATGCAGGTGCCCATGAAACAGTCATACAAAAGGACAGGATAGGAGTAAGTAGAACTCTTACCTCTGTACCAATTGATCTGCCTGGTAGTATTTTCCATCAATAAGAATCTGTACATCAATTACATGCTGACGTAAAAGGTTCTCACATTCAAGTATATACCCGGCAATTTCTGCTTCATTCTGAAACTGCACTCCTGATTCTAATCGTTTAGAATCCTGTATTTTAAAGGAACTCAATGTTAATCCTGTGAAATAACTTTCAAAACTAGCCTCAAATTTAAAACTCTAAATACAGGAAAAGAAGCCAACTTGGGCTTTGTTTTCCCTTTTGGTTCAAAAATGTTTTCCCTTGGCTCATTGTCCCTTGAGAGAGTAAACACCTATAGTAATCTTCAACAAACTTTCAGTTTCAGTAAAGAACATATAACAAGAATCAACCAAACAATATGCCAAAGTTTCAGTTCATCCACATACACACCAACCCCTCTGTTACAATCCCAATGGCTCCTAAAATTAACTTACAGCCTGGAGAGCATTTCGGGCAAGTATCAGTTTGTCTTCACAGATGACACTGTCCCTCTGAACTCGGCTGGCAATCTGCTGCAACATTTCCAACCTAAAAGAAGGGACAAAATGAAACAAAGTCCCTTCCTTTGACATCAAAGCATTCACCATCCCCCCAAAATGCTGCCCACCAATAAGGAAAACACAATCCACCACCAATGATTCAATACCTGTGTCCACCAAAGGATTCATTGCCGAAGCTAATGCAGGAGTTGATCAGTGTTGGACCACAATGAACTGAGAGAAGATTTTCATTTGACCCACCAATGATTCAATACCTGTGTCCACCAAAGGATTCATTGCCAAAGCTAATGCAGGAGTTGATCAGTGTTGGACCACAATGAACTGAGAGAAGATTTTCATTTGAATCAAGACTGGTTCGAGTGCTGGTAGTGTTACTAAACACAGAATCACTGCTATGGTAACTGTAAGTACTACTGTGCATTTTTATTCCTGAAATGATGTTCTGCCTTTGATCATTCAAAGTAAACTAAAAAGGAGAAAGTCTAGAAAAGGCTCTACCTCTAACGGTGGAAAGTGGCAACTGAATGCTACAACGTTAATGGCTCCTTAAATACGCTTCAACTTGCATATGCAACACACAGCAAATAATATGCTGATAACTATTCAAAAGAATCTCGCCTAAAGCCATTCATTTGCTAGCTGAGGTTTGCCTTTTGTAGCTTGCATTAAAACCCTACAAGTATGGACAAAGCAAGCTGATTGGGGCGTCACTGGGAAAGATATGCCAAATACTTTTACTAAGAGTCATCCAGTTGCAATCACGTAAAAAACAACTCAGATGCCTCACAGAAGTCCAGGTACAACTAGCAGAGATCATTCTGGCAATACCAATCATCAGCTAAAAGAACACAAATATTCTAGTATAGCCTGACTCCTGCAAAGGGCCAGGTCTATACTGAATAACACACAAAAAAGCTGGAAAGTATCAAGTACCTATAAACAAATGAATGTGATGAAAAACGAAATACATTTCCATTTTAACCATCATGTCATTTGTTCATTAGGTTAAATTAACCAGAAAATTCTCCATTTAACTTTCTTTCTATGATGTGCTCTCTGTAATGGTACTTCTAATCTTCTAGAGTTACTTTATATTTTTAAAAGCCAATGTGCTAAGTAGAATATCAATGCAATGCTTGCAAATTTCATTTGTCTGTGCTTGTTTTTCTTTTCTATAGGTTATTACATAGCATAAGAACATTGGCTCTTTCCCATTTGTCTTTTACACACTCCCATGCCACATAGCTATTATTTACAATACATAGTCAATGCCAAAAAACTTGTTGTGTCAAGAAAAATGAAGGCATTTATCCAACCAAGCTCCTAAATATCTTCCTACCTTCAACGCTACAAAGCCAAACTGTTGTTTCTCCATTCTAAGGGTAGATACTTTTCTTTTTAGAAAACAAGAAAGGGGAAGTTTGAGAGCCCCATATAAAATATAGTGAGTAAACAGAACAGCTCAGAATAATCATAGCAGGACCTATTATTTATTAAGTAATTATTATGTGCCAGGAAATTAATTATTTTGTGTACATTACTTCATCTCATACTTATAACCACTAAATGTGGTAGGTGCTATACTACATCTTATTTACAAATGAGGAAACTGAAGCTTCAAGAGTTAAAGAACTTGTCTAAGATCACAAAACTTACAGATTGAGCTAATAATCCAATCTAGGATTGACTGGCTCCTGAGCTCTAAACTCTTAACTACTCGCTGCATTATTTTAATAACATATATTAAAATTCAGCTACTGTTCAGATGACTAAAAGCCTGCTCTGTATCCTTTCCCTGGCATACTTTTCCATTATTTCAGATAATTAGCTTAGGATCTCATTTTAACCACCCAGAACTAGCTCCTCCATAAAAGTTCCATGCTGTATATTTCAAGCTTTTTGTAATTCTAATGATTGGGCTCTCTAGATACAAAATTCTGCTTTAATCAGAGTGTAATCAGCATTTTAATAAAGGACTGACAAGTTAGACTTGCTGCCATATCTTCAATGCATTATTTCATAATCCAAACATGTTGAAGCTAATGTGTGAGACACACAGAACATGAGTATACTGAGCGTCTCTACTGTGGACCAGGCATTGTGGTAAGCACTGGCAACACATGGACAGCGGAACCATGAGTTTGTCTCCACAGTCTTAGAGCTCATATCTGTGAAACAAGTAGCCCTTAATCAAAAAAATAAATGTAAAATTACAACTGAAATAAGCACTATGAAGGAATAATACACATAAATATGGGGGTCATAAGCAAGACATCTGAGCTAGCCTGGAAGATGATGGAAAGTTCCTGGAGGTAACACTGGAGCCCAGATCTGAGAATGATTAGGAGTAACGAGAGACAGGAGGATGAAATAGACTTTCCTGCCAAAAGAACAGACTGTGCACAGACCCTGGTATGGAGAAGAGTGGGACCTCAGCACACAAGAGCTCCTGAGGGACAGCCAGTGTGGCTGCTCTGGAGAGGACAAGGAGGCCGGAGAGGTATGAATGACCACACAGGCCACCTGCTGTAAGGGCCAGCCCCTGTGGACCTCATGGCTGATGAGGAACACAGATCACAATTCCCAGGGACCGCAAGTCAGGCTGGGAGGTGAAGGCCATAATGAAGACAAATTCATCCAGCAAATGTCTCCTGAAGACCAAAGGTACCTTCGTGGGCAACTGGGTGTATTGAGAGAGACAGAATGATAAAGAGCCAGTGATGGTTTCATGGAATAAATGCATCTGTAGAAGTGTGACAGAAAGGGACCCGGAACTGACATTTGCCCAGTATTTTCTAGATGCTACCCCATCAACCTTTAAATGGAGATAGGCCAGTCTTTGGTTTCCACTGCTCCATGAAAAGAAGGTCACAGCCAAAATGAAACAAGAAACAAAAGAAGTTAACTGTTGACCTATAAGCTTACAGTTAAAGGCCCTGGTAGCTTAAGGCCAGTTTCATGAATTCTTATGGGTAATTTTGATTGGCTCTGAAACTGTGACAACTTATTGATGAGATTCCATATACCAATCCAGCCTACCAGAGTCTTTACATATATTCCTTAAAAACTCTTGAAAGAGTTTCTAGATAAGAAAATGGAGAAAGAGAAATTGATTGGCTCTGAAACTGTGACAACTTATTGATGAGATTCCATATACCAATCCAGCCTACCAGAGTCTTACATATATTCCTTAAAAACTCTTGAAAGAGTTTCTAGATAAGAAAATGGAGAAAGAGAAAGACTAAATGACTTATCCAAGGTCACACAGCCAAGTAAACGAAAAAGGTAAATTTTGGTCCTAAAAATTTGGCTTTTAGGCTCTTTTTTTTTCCTCTTTTTTTTT